ATTTTTTTTTTTTTTTTTTTTTTTTTTTTTTCCTCTATCGTAGTTCCATCTCTCGAATTCCAACATTTTTTTTCTTTCTTGTTTCGTTAAGTATTTCCGCGTCATACGGATTTCAGGAGGCAAATTATTCTTAACTTTTCGTCTTGTTATGCTTCAATGTCGCATTCTCAGTGTTTTCGCCTTCTTTCAAACTGGACAATTGCGTTTTACGAAAAATATCGTTGAAGACACTCGTGGCTGCCTGTAAATCCTTGCAATCCTTTGGTTGTCGGGCGACGGACCAAACCCCTGCTATAGTGTCGATACCTTGACAAACTCTGCAGGCACCTAAACGATTATTTTATCGATAATTTACATATTCGCGAATTCCGTTGAAAAATATTCTACTTATAATTAATTTATTTGAAGGAAAAAGAAAAGAGAGACAGTTTTATGGCATTAGTCAGTTCGTTGTTAGAGGAACAAGAGAAGAATTAATTATAAAGTTTCAAAATTGTTGATAAAAAATTTTGATTACATGATGCAGCATTTGACATATGATTGTTAAAAATTAGAAATTGTTGAATTGTTTTCCCGCGTTGGAAAAATACAAATATATATTGGCGAAAGAAACAAGCTACATACCGACAAACACGGCAATAGAATTGGTATAATTATGGGTGGCGATGAGGGTGAACGGCAAGCCACGTTTGAATGGGACGTGACCAGAGACGTTCCACGTTTCATTCAACAAACTTTCTTGTAAACGGGATGACGTGAAGTTGGAAACTGTCACTACTATAGTACGATTCACGACCCTCATATCCAGTTTCACTCCGGCCTGAGTTGTTGACCAGGACCCTGACAAACGGCAAGGTAAGCCTAAAAATATCGCTCGTTTCACATATCAGGGACAGGCAAGCTTCAAGCCGGCCTACTATCGTTCTCCGAGAAACACGTATTTATTTTCCACGTGCGACGCGCGCCATTTACTCCCCATTTACTACCTTACCTTCTCTGTTCTTGTTGTTCTTCAACCGATCGTCCTTCAGATCCTCCAACTCCTCCATTATGGTATCAAGTATTTCATTTGCAACTTGTTTCGTATCCCTCACAGCGCCTGTAATATTCGTATGATCATGGTCCACATTTTCCTTCCCAAATGAAATATTTTGATTCAATTGCCTCTGGTCCTCTTTCATATTGTTCCTGTTCTTCGAAAGGAACGATTGATACTCCAAACCTCTGAAATTATTGTCCCCGTAACCAGTCGACTCTTCCTTATAGACCTCGTACGGTCTCTTCCTTATGTAATTTATCACGTCCAACGTGCGATCGTTGGAATAAGGCAATATTTGTCGATTGTTATTTTCGTTCATGTTGATCTCCTTATTTTGACCCCCGTTAATGTTTATCCCAAGGGATTCAAGGATCTTGCCCAATGGTTGATCCATGGCGTTGGGAAGACTGACGGATGGACGATTGTAAAAAGTCGATTGCAACGCGTAGTTCTCCATATTTTTTTCTTGATTCTCTAATTGATTATCCTGCTGGGTTTCCTGCTGATTATTGTAAAATTGGATCGGGAAGTAATTGTCCGCGTTTGGAATTCTCATACTTTCCGGTTGGTTCATTATATTGGTCTGATCGAAATTCCCGCCAAGCGAGTTGGTATCTATCGGTTGATAATTGTTCAAATATTGAGGCTGGATCAACGGTTCAACGGCCCCGTTCAAGTTCAAGTTTTGGGGCATGTTGGTGCTCAGACTTTGAAATTGTTCGCCAGGAATTTCGTACTGATTGTTCAAGTATTCGAATTGGTCTGGATTCTGCGATTCGATGACAGGCTGTCGATCACCACCGTCTGATTTATTCGGATCGAAGGTATCGTAATTATTCGACAAATCGGAAACGTTGTTCCCTTCGAACGCTTGCGGATCTTCCGGAACTTCCGCCGGAACGCTCGGCGCGGCATACGAGGTGTCATAATTTTGATTTCGATAGTCCAAAACTCCATAATTGGTCGCGTAATTGAACGTTGCCTCATCCGGTCCGAGTACTCGAGAATTCCGATTTAATGTCGCGATACGGTCATTTGTCGGATAATTCTGAAAATTATTAAGAGAATTGACATAGTCGTTCTTGAAACCACGATACGTTCTACGAGTATCGTAATCCGGATAATACGGTTGCAAGTCTCTATCGAACGGACGGCTGCAGTCACGATAAGACGTGAAATTTAAGGTCTGTCGTGTTAATCGATCGTAAGGATCTCTCGAGTCGATCAGTTGCGGCAAAATTTTATTCGCGGCGACGTCTTGGAGTACTTCGTCGTCGCTATAGTAATCCGAATACTCGACCCCTTGGTCCCCTGATTTCTTTTTCCACGGATTCTTGGTCGTGGTCTGCATCAAATGTTCGATCATCTTTTCGCTCTCGTGATTTCGCAATTTCTCGTCATTTTGCATATCTACAAAAATGGATTCGGTCGTCTCGATATTTGGGGACGAGGAGAAATCAACGTAATCGCTGTCGTCTACGTGAACAGCGGTGACTTTGTCCCTCGATTCTGAGATGGACGTGTTTTCGCGTGATATATCATCGAGATTATCTGGACTACGTTTAATCGTAGTATTCACCCTTCGCTTTGATCGCTTTGTTAACGTGTTAATGTCCCCATTGCTGTCCAACGTTCTCTGAGTAAAGATACATTTTACATACGTTTATCCACATGCGTAGTAAAAATTTACCAGTTGGGGAGGAATAGAAAATTAGTGAGAATTGCAGAACGAAGCTTACCTACCTTAGGGGATCCCCTCTTTATCTGAGTAGGTTGTTTCATGTATCTTCTATGATGCCTGGAAATCAAAAAAAAAAAAAATACCATACATATGTGTATAAAACACGGAATAATACAAAGCGTTTAATTTCCATTGATAATCTTCTCTTCTCCCAAAGAAAAAAAGAAAGGAGGACGGTTTTTAATTTTTAAAAACCGTTCGATCACTTCCATTACCTTTTTTTCTTCTTCTTCTTTCGCCCCTTGTGCCTCAACCCCTTTCGATTTCTTTTGTCTTCTGTCAGCTTCGAGTTACCCTTGGTCATCGGTATCTTCACCGTGGCCTGAAGATGACCCGGGGGCGACACGCGCGAAAGTTTTCTTATCGTCTCTTGCACCTTGGGCGATTTCAGCGCGTCCTTGGCCATTTTGTGGGCCAATCCACCAGTTTCGATATCTGATCTAGGAATTCTGTAATCCACGGGATCGGAGACGATGCTATGGCGCATCCTCAAATTCTGTTCGTTGAAGTATCGATTGTTCTTGCTCAATTGCCTTTTCTGTAGCATGGGATTCCTATCTTCATCTTGAATCGATTTCTCGTTTCCTTTCAAAAACGTAACGGTCCGTCGATGCGGCACACCGGCCGCCACTTTCTTCTCCTCTGACGGTACGAACGATAATTTCTCGGCATTGGTTTCGACGCAAACGGGGATTAGTAGCGGAACGATCATGGTCAACCTGCTTTTTTTTGTTTTTTTTTTTTTTTTTTTTTTTTTTTTTTTTTTTGTTTTTTATCTCTCGTTAATAAAAATTATCCGCCAACGTTTTTCGCCTCCGTCTCGTATTTCGTGAGAAACGAAATCGGTAAACATATAATTAAAATTTTATTCGCAATTATGCATACCTGAATAAAGTTAGCAGCATTCCTCCACGAGGTAGATCGGTCGAATGATTGGTGCTGGTGCCATTGAATCGGCGTACTCGCAAGATGGGACGTTTTAAGCTCGTACTTCACCGCGTGGAATCATGTCAGTCCAATCCTTCAATTTCCAACTTTTCTCCGTGTCAATTTTTCCAACCAATAATGTCCTCGATAAAAATGTAATAAAAATGGCTGTTCACGCTCAGTTCTTTCGACACGTTGACATATCCCCAGAGAAAGGTTCGCAGAAAGCGCTCGCGCGACTTTCGATGCTCGTTTCTTCTCGACGACCAACTTTTGTCATCTTATCTGTCCTATAGAATTCACCTTCACGCCGTAGGGAATATAATTCGTATTAATCCTCCCCCTTCCTCTAAATCTAGGATCTATTCCTCGAGAAAAGACCACTCGTAGCTCGATTCGGTCCATTTGCTCGTTTCGAATGGCACACGCGTGCACCTAAATCTACGACAACGTACGCGTGTATATATATATATATAAATATATATATATATATACATATGCGTGTGCGTGTATACGCGTGTACAAGCGTAGCTTTCGAACAGAGCCGATCAAAGCGATTTGGAGGATGGCCAAGTACACGCGTCGGCCTCAATTAGTCAGATATTACGTATGAATGTCGTACACGCGGCTACTTTGCATTAATAACACGGAAATGAACTTAGAGCGCAAAGTGTAATCTTTCGATACTATCTCACGTTTTATATGAAAATCGAAGGAAGCCAATCAACCTTTTAAAATCGACGCTCATGGGTATAATGCAACATGTGATGTATTATTTAATTTCTGCAAAGAAACAGGCTTTCTTGTTTCTTCCAAATTGAATATTAAACGATATTTTCTATTTTTTAGCCTCTTAACAATTTGATCTTAAAAGGATTGATATTAATTTTTGGAGAAGAAATTATAACAAATCGATTTTTGAAATCAGCATCATAACGTAAAGATTCTCGATCGAATTAAAACCGATTCCAATTTAAATCATCGAACGAACATCTTTCACTATCACTTTCCAAATATATATTTTCGAGTAAACTTCGAAGCAACTGTAACTATAAACCAATTTATTTATACAGTTTATATCGAGGCTGGATAATCGTGATTCCTCTCTTAAGTAACGACGCAAGCGTTGGATCGAGGAAAAACGGCTCAATGGGAAGTAACGGGACATATCTCGTCGGTCGTAAAAGTACATCGACAGCGGATCCGTGTGCGGTGCGCGTATTAAAACCAAGTCGAGTGCACAAATAGACCTCCCAACGATCCGTCGAAGTACCATCGGCGCCGGACAGAAGACGGCTGTTAGCAACAAAAAGGACGAGTGGGAAAGTAGAGGCGAGACGGTCCAGACTGTCGCACAAATTATGGTGCAACGTAACGCGAATGCACAATGTATATCGAACGGCAGAGAAAAGCCTGGAGACATTAGATAAGCATTCGATTATTATTAGAACCAGCCGAAAGCAACGAACCGATTCGTCTGCTGGCGATTATTGTCAGTCTGTCCAACTCGATTAAGATAACTCATGTCGGTTCTACGAAGCACTCGATTTTTTTATTCGGAAGGAGGGAGGAGAGGAGAGGGAGTTGGATTTCTGAGCGATGATTTGATATTTGTTTTTTTTTTTATTTCGATGTGGAAAAAATTGTTACTATCTCGTTTATTCTTGATTTTTTATTTTTGATTCCTATATTTTCGATTATGATATATAATCGATTTTTTGGTAATAATTTTGATCTGTCGTCGAATCGAAAGAGGGGGAAAAATTGGAAAAATTGGAAATTTGCGTGGTTAAAGAAACAGGGGAACAGGAATGTCAATGCCATACGTCGGATACCAGACATACTATGGCAATTGCAAAACAATTCTATTTACGAAGAGTGCGAACAGTTTGGAATGGCTGTAAATCAATCGCATTATAAACCATGAAAATTGTGATGATCGAACGAATTGGCGATTTATGCTATCCTGGGATGTATTTTTAAATCGATCGATTTAAATTGTGCAATCGAGCATTTCTAATTATTTAATCGAATCGCTTGGCGCGCTTACAACAGCTTCGACGAAACCAAAATCGGAACGCATAAGAAATTAATCGCTCGAGGGATATCTCATCTCCTACGAAATGAACGAGATAATAACGATTATTGCTCGTTCGTATATAACAATAATAATAATTCACAATTGTGTAACGATCCTCTCTCGTTAATTACTCTGAGAGAAACCTTGGCTCGGGTACAGATACGAGGAGGAACACTAAAGAGGAATACCAAAGGTCGCCATTTCTACAAACGAAACGCTTTTCCATTATATTATATTATTAGCCGGATCGTTTCTTAAATTCAATAATAACAATCTCCTTCTAAAATTATAATCAAAAGGTTACCAGATTCTACTTCTTTACTTTACCCTTGGGGAATCGTTTCGCAACGCCGTTTCAATCAAATCTGCACAAGCCAAGAGAGAAAGCTCTCCCTCGAATCTCCCTCGAATCGGTCCATGGAACAACAGGTGCGTCGTTCTATTCTTCTCCCCAACTATAAGATCAACGATCACGATCACGATGACGAGGGGAACGTTGGCGAACGATGCCGATGCACAATGTTAGTCTCGAGAATGATAGATGGAAAAAAACGGGGGAAAAAAGAAAAGAAAAGAAAAGAAGAGGTTAACGATGAAAAGGAAAAAGAAGCAGAAGAAGAAGAAGAAGAGGCAGAAGAGAAGCGTGGAGGGTGTTGGGACGCCTTGCGGCTGGCATTGGTAGCAGTCTCGAGATAGCCGCCGGCTGGCTTCCTCACCGCCTCGGGGGATTTATTTGGGGATTCCGAGCGCAAAGTGGTGAACGATATATCCAGTGACCGACCCATCGATCCCAATCGCGATATTAAAAGGCCAACAGTGATCGAGCAACGAGTGTAACGCAAGGGCCGCGTATTATATTCTTTTCTTTTTCTCTTCCTCCTCAAATCGGCCAACCAAAATTTCGAGGGACTACCATTCTGTACGTGTTTGGCTGGAGGTGAGTAATCCGTCTAACGTTTTCCACCATCGCTTATTTTTCCTGCCCACGTTTCGTTCCTTTCCTCTTCCGTTCTTTCTGGCCGTCGTGTCAGCTCGTCGTCGTGCTATTTTCGTGAGTGTTGTGCAAGTGTCGATCTCGCGTTCGGGCGGCACGGCGTGTTGGCTTCGACTTCTAACTCGTTCGAAACTCCCCCGAATTTCGCCGGGTTGCAGTTTTTCCACTTTTTCTCGTTTCTTTTTCTTTCTTTTTTGCCCTCCTTTTTTTTGTCCTCCCGAAAGCTTGGTGTCTCCTTTTCGCCGTTGTCGGATTGATTCGCGTTCGTCGAGGCCCCGGCCGGCCTTGGACGAACTTATGCTTATGCGTTTGGTGATTTTTCACCGATTATTTCGGGAAACGGGTTCGTAGACGAGTTCTCAGGTGTGATTGAAAAACACGACGGTTTTTGAGACATCAGTGATGTGCCATTGAAAAATTGAGAAGCTTCTACGCGCGGGGATCGGTATGTTATGAAATTTAAACAAGCGCCTAACTTTGGCTGATCTATGGATCATCGGATGATCCGTTTAACTTTTTCGAGGGAGTTGTAAAATATAATTATCGTTTATAAATATCATTTTTTCGAGTGATATTTTTCTGCTTGGCGAATGTAAGATCGATCGGAATAGAAAGTTGAAAGGAAAATACGTACGTTTAGGGATGAATTTGTTGTCCATGGAACAAAAAGAAATTAATTTCGATTCTTCATCTTCGATTCTCGTGAGAGATAGAGAAAGGAATGAATTATGAAATTTATGCATATGAAATGAATTTCATCTTATCGTCGACGAGCTGTCGCCTCGATGACAGATATGAAATGCTGTCAACCAACCATGCGGAAGCATAGAGACAGAGTGTAACAAATCTTCTACTGATTATCGCGAAAACTTTGATGATTAATAGTC